GGGCAGCTGACAGCAGCAGGGAGCAGCAGAGAGCAGCAGGGAACAGCACAGAGACGCAGAGAGCAGCAGGGTGCAGCTGATTCCAGCTGAGAGCAGCAGAGACCAGCGGAATCTCATCGAGCACCAAAGAGCAGCAGAGACCACCAGAGAGCAGCAGGGAACAGCAGAAAACAGCAGAGAGCAGCAGGGAGCAGCAGAACGCAGCAAAGAGCAGCAGAGAGCAGCAGAGAACAGCACAGAACAGCAGAGAGCCGCAGAGAGCCGCAACGACCATAGTAGAGCAGTAGAGAACAGCAGAAAACAGCAGGGCGCAGTGGATACCATCAGCGGGTAGCAGGGAGCAGCAGATAGCAGCAGGGAGCAGCAGAGACCCGCAGAGACCAGCAGACAGCAGCAGTGATCCGCACGGAGCAGCAGCGAACATCAGAGAGCAGCAGAGAATAGGAGACAGCAGAGAGTAGGAGACAGCAGCAGACAGCAGCTTAGAGCAGCAGAGACGAGCAGAGACAGGCAGAGAGCAGCAGACACCAGCAGACACTAGCAGAGAGCAGCATAGAGTGCCAGAGAGCAGCAGAAAGAGGCAGGGACCAGCAGACAGCAGCAGAGACCAGAGAGCAGCAGAGAACAGCCGTGACCAGCAGAGACCAGAGACCAGCAGACAGAAAGCAGCAGCAGAGACCAACGGACAGAGGCAAAGAGCGGGAGCGACCAGCAGATCTGAGCAGAGTGTACCAGAGAGCAGCGGAGAGCAGCATATCCCAGCAGAGACAAGCAGAGAGCACAGGGAGCTGCAGAGAGATGCAGAGATCATCGGGGACACAGAGAGCAGCACCAGCGCGACATCCATACGACAAATGGTGGTGACAGCCTCCTGGGGTCCCCGAGAACGGAGATAGCTCAAGGTTGAACGGCCCGTGCGGTGTCAGGAACCAGAGCCGACGTCGCCAAGGCAGAACGTTGCCGTATGTCGATGAGGGGTGTCCCAGACATCTGGCGATGCTATTTTTGTTAAACCCTGGCGGTGTTCTTTCTATTTCCGCCTCCAGGGCCTCCTGGGGGCTTCTTGGGGCGGAAGGCTCGGATTTTCGGTTCGTGATCCCTTTCTTGGGCCTCCTTTGGGGGCCGTCGTGGGGCGCTCTTGGGCAGTCTTGGGCGCCATTTGGGCAGTCTTGGGCGCCACTTGGGTCTTTGGGCGCTCTTGGGTCGTCTTGGAGTCTTGCGCGCCTCTAGAGCCGTCTTGGGACCCTATTGGGACGTCTTGGGGCCCCCTTGGGGGCCTCTGGGGCCGTCTCAGGGGCCTTTTGGGATGTCTTGTAGCGTCGGGAACTCGAAAAGGGGAGAATCCCCAACACATCACAAGCTAAGGAACATCCACGATTTGGGCCACTCGGGGCCCTCTTGTGAATTTTCGTCGAGGCCTCTTTGGACGTCTTGAGCGCTTTTTCGGCCGATCGGATGTCATCTTGGACGTCGTGGTCCGATCGTTCAGCGATTCGGGGCCCCCTCGGACCGTCTTTGGGGCCCCTTCACTCCGAACAAGTCATGCGACAAGACGCGGCCCGGCCCAGGAGGCACGCCGGGAGCCCCGGAATATTTGAGAGCTAGGGGCCTGGACCCACTCCACGAGTCCTAAGGATTGAGGACTGAAGTTCACGGGACGGGGCAAAGGATCTGAGGACACACCAACTCGCTCCCGAGGGCACGGTGGCTGATATACATATCTATCTATGTATGTCTCCCTCTCTCTCTGTCACCCTCTCTCTCTCTCTCTTCCTCTTCGCTCCTCGTCGTGGTCTTTTCTCGCCCTGCGCCCTTCGCCCTCCATCTCCCCCCCCCCGCGCTCGCTGGCGTCGCTCAGCCCGCCGCCCCCCCGCCCCGCACCCCCGCCCCCCCGCCCCCGCCCGCGCCCCCTGCGCGGCCCACCGCCCCATTCCGCCCGACGGCGCCCCGGTTGCCGCCCCCGCCCCGGCTCCAGCCCGCGCCCGGGTTCCTCCGGCTCGGGCCCCCCCCCCCCCCAGGGGGTGGGGGGAGGGGGGAGGGCTTCTTGGAAGCACCCCTGCTTCTTAGAAGGCGCGGGCCTTCTCTAGAGATGTAAGGCCGGCGCCTTCTAAGAAGCAGCCTGCTTCTAAGGAGCCCTCCCCCCTCCCCCCACCCCCTTGTGTGGCGCCGCAAAACCCTCCTCCCTCCTCCTCCTCCTCTTCCTCCTCTCTCCTCCTCCTTCTCCTCCTCCTGCTCCTCCTCCTCCTCCTCCTCCTCCTCCTCCTCCTCCTCCTCCTCCTCTCCCCTCGCCCCACGTCAGAAGCCATCGCCCGGGTCGCACGCGCGGGGGCAGAGAGAACGCCGGGGGCTGTCAGAGGTGCCCCCCTGGCCCGAGGTGCCCCGCGCTGGACCCGGGAGCCCCCGGGCGCCCTGGGCCTCGCGAGGGGTGCTCCGGAGGCCGTGGGGGCCTCCTCGGGAAATCCTGCGGGCACCTTGGAGGAGGAGGGAGGAGGAGGAGGAGGAGGAGGAGGAGGAAGGAGGAGGAGGAGGAGGAGAGCGAGGAGGAGGAGGAGGAGGAGGAGGACGAACGACGAGCGGAGGAGGAGGGAGGAGGAGAGGAGGAGGAGGAGGAGGAGGAGGAGGCGGAGGAGGAGGAGGAGGAGGAGGGAGGGAGGAGGACGGAGGAGGAGAGGCGAGGAGGAGGAGGAGGAGGAGGAAGGAGGAGGAGGAGGAGGAGGAGGGAGGAGGGAGGAGGAGGAGGGAGGAGGAGGAGGAGGAGGAGGAGGAGGAGGGGAGTTTTTTTTTTTTTTTGAGGAGACGAGGAGGAGGAGTGAGACGAGGAGGAGGAGGAGGAGGAGGAGGAGAGGAGGAGGGAGGAGGAAGAGGAGGAGGAGGAGGAGGGAGGAGGAGGAGGGAGGAGAGGAGGAGGAGGAGGAGGAGGGAGGAGGAGGCAGGAGGAGGAGAGGAGGAGGAAGAAGGAGGAGGGAGGAGGAGGAGGAGGAGGAGGGGAGGAGGAATGAGGACGAAGGAGGAGGAGGAGGAGAGAGGAGGAGGAGGAGGAGGAGGAGGACGAGTAGGAGGAGGAGGAGGAGGAGGAGGAGGAGGAGGAAGGAGGAGGAGGAGGAGGAGAGGAGGAGGAGCAGAGGGTAGGGGCACTCCTAGCAACACCCGACACAGGGGGGGGGAGGGGACTGCGACATCGGCCGCGTCGCGGCTGGTTTCTGCCCCGCCGCCCGGCGGTGTTCCTCGATGCGCTGGCGCCTCTGGCGCCGGGAGGCGCCAGGACAACCAGCTGCGTGGGCTGATTCGCTAACCCCCTCTTTGCTATCCCCTCCTGTTGTCCGACACGTTCTGCTGCCGTCGTGGATGGTCCTGGCGCAGAGGATCATCAAGCTGAAGGCGGGCAACTACTGCTCCAGCTACGGCGAGCGCGTGTGCAGCGACGACGAGGCCGAGGGTGGCTGCTGGCGGAGGGGGGCGTGGAGTGGGGAAGAGGAGGGCTGATGGGGGGGGGGCGCGGGAGGTGATCTGAGCCTCCCTCATGGGGTCAGAGCAGACGGGGTCGGAGGATCGCGCTGCATCGCCGATGCATCGGCTATGCGTCTCGATGTGGAGCCCGACTTTCACCACGCCGACGTCGCTGATGCAGCGCCGATGCATCGGTGATGCATGGACGATGCGGCGCGGTTCTCCAGCCCAATCTACTCCGACCCGTGGGCAGTACGGAAGGGGGGTGTTGTGTTTCGGGGCAGAGGCAGGTGGGGTCCGGAGTGAGGATTGGCAAGGTGGTTAACAAGGAGAGACGGGCGGGGGAGGCTGCGTAAATCGGGTCATTGGAAGGGACGCGCTGGATAACGGGGGAGGGAGGAGGGGTCTCGTCGCAGGATGCGGTTAGGTCATATGCGTGAGCGCGATTCCGAACCACGCACGCGGGACAGTATGTGAGCACCCTTTCCTTCCTTTCCTTCTCTGGTCAAATACAGCGATGTGCACGTGGCGTTGTCCAGCCCAGAAGCGCCGCCATGGTGCAAGCATGTGCAGACACACGTGAAGTGCGCACTGCTTTTTCAGATGTCTCGTCACTGGTGTTCGGCCAGCGCACGGTTTTGATTCACGGGCGCTAGAATTCAGCGGCGAGCGAGGGGGGAAGTGAGAAGGGGCAGGCCATCTCAGAAAGCTCGGAAGTTTCCTGGCCTTCTGAGAAGTTCTAGAAGTCTTCCCCGAAGACACATAGCATTTCTCAGAAGGCGCGAGGGCTTCTGAGAAGTCCCGCCTCCTTCTGAGAAGGTCTTCTCCTTCTCGTTTCCCCTCGCTCGTCGCCGAAGACTGCAAATGGGCCCGACCGCCACTGTCAGCACGACAAACTGGCCCAGCGCAGCTGCCGCGCAGGGCTCGCGACGCGCGCCGAGCACCATACACCACCATAAGCAATGCCGCTACCCCCTCGCCCTCGAGGTCCTCGATCTCATGGAGGCGAACGACAACCACGCGGAGGAGCGGCCTCCGCCTCGTCTCCTCCCCCCTCTCTGTCTCCTGCCCCTCGCTCCTCCTGGCCGCGCCTCCTGCTCCTCCTCGTCGTGCTCCTCCTGCTCTCCGCGCCTCCTGCTCCTGCTCGTCGTGCCCCTCCTCCTCCCGCCCGCTGCTCCTCCTCCCGCCCGCTGCTCCTCCTCCCGCTCCCGCTCCTCCGGCTCTGGCGGGCCCCCTGGCTCCTCCGCGGTGGGGCAGGCAGAAGGGCGCCGCGGAGGAGGGGGTGAGGCGCGGGAGGGGCGGGGCAGGGAAGAGGGAACTCAGAGGACAACACCACGCGTACGTGTACGTCAGGCTCGCGTCGCAGCGACGCGGCGGCCAAGCCGCGGCGGGCGTCCCTGGTGGAACGCGGCCGGTGGCCCAGCAGCGGCCGGTACGAAACCGCCCGGTGATCGAAAGGGCGCCGATCCCTCCAGGAGGAGGGGGGGAGGAGGGGGAGGAGGAGGAAGAGGAGGGGGAGGAGGAGGAGGAGGGGGAGGAGGAGGAGGAGGAGGAGGAGGAGGAGGAGGAGGAGGAGGAGGAGGAGGAGGAGGCTGTCAGAAGCCAGCGCCGCGCCGCGCGCGGCCCGCTCCCGCCCCGCCCGCGCCCGAGCGCCGTCGCCCGGTGCACGCCAGAGCACGGAGGCGCCCGCACGTGCACGGGCTGGGCTGCGCCGGCTCGGCGAGCGGAGTCGACGGTGCGCCGCTCAGTGCGCCGCCGCGGGTCGGGGGGCGAGGGAGGCCCCGAGAGGCGAGCACGCGGGAGGCATGCGCGCTCGTGCGGAGCTCACGGGTCGAGGGCCTCGCCGTGCCCTCCTGGGAGGCTGGATGTTCTCCTGGAGGCCCCTGTGGAGCCCGGGGCCACGTTGGGCCGTCTTGCAGCCACCTTGGCGGCCTTGGTGGCTTGCCTGGGCCATCCTGCAAGCCACCTCGGGCATCTGGAGCTCCCTGGAGAGCGCTTAAGATGAGGCGAAAGTGCCCAGTAGTCCTTAGGCGGGGCGGGCGGTGCACGCGATGGAGTGCAGCACGGCGGGGGCTCGGCATTCTACCGCCCCTGAATGTACCAGTGGGCACGGTCAGGTGGATTTCCTCGTTCTCCTCCTCCTTCTCCTCCTCTTCCTCCTCTTCCCTGCCCTTCTCCTCTTCCTCCTGCTGCTCACTCCCTCCTCCTGCTCCTCACTCGCAAGCCCTCCTCCAGAGCCGAGGAGCACACCGTGGCCGAGTTCGTCGAGTTCTGCGTCAATGGCCGCACCGCCAAGTCAGGCACCTGGACGTCCAAGGGCGTCGGCAAGTACCTGGAGGGCGGCAAGGCGGCAGGAGGCGAGCTTGCCGCTGCCGCCTCCGCTGCCGCCACCGCCGCTGCCGCTCCTGCCCCGTGACACGGCGGTCGCCCCTCCTGCACCTCGCCCTCGCCCTCGCCCTCCTGGTGCACTTGGTCCTCGATATCGTCGACGCCTTCCGCCTCCCCCGTCCTCGTCCTCCTGCTCCTCGTTCCTGCTGCCTCCTCCCTCCACCGGCGGCCCCCCTCCTCGTCCGCTTCGGTCCATCCCCGTCCGTCCTGCCCCTTCGCCCTCCTCCGTACCTCTCGCCCCTGCCTCGCCGCTTCCTCCTCGTCCCTCGCCGCTCTTGGGGATCTTCGACGAAAAATATAGAATACGCCAAAAGTAGTCCAGAAATAATCCAAAGATAGTCTGGGGACTACTTTTGGCGTATTTGTTGACCTTTTTGGGGTATGTTTGGGGTTTCTCCCCTCGTCCTCCGCCCTGCCCGACCCCCGCTCCCTCCCTCCCTCGCGAGTGCTGCCGCGGGTGCCCCCGTCCCGGCGCGACCCCGAGATCTCCCGGGGAGGCCCAGCCAGCTTCCGGAGCACCCCCTTCAGTCAGGAGGGGAAAAAACACACAGACACAATGGATCGTCAACCCCGAGAAGATATGGGAAAATGTGGGAAGTGGGGGGGAAGACAGAAACCCAGAAAATATGGGAAGGTATGGGGAATATCTTTATTTGTGTGTATTTATTTGTGTGTCCTGGGGCCCCTTCATTCAGGAGGTCTCGGAGGGTGCGCGTCGTCGAACCTGCGAACAGGCGTAGAATGCTAAGTAGATCTACGGAACATCCTACGCAACCTTCGTGGACTCGACGAACGAATCAAGCTTGGGGTGCATCAATTCTGTAGTCGGTCCCCTGAGGGTGCAGTTTGATCCGATCGGTCCGATTCGATCTTGGTTTCGGCCGGCCCGACGCGATTCGATTTTAGTGTTCCGACGGTCCGATGCGGCCTCATGACCGCATGGCGTTGTTCTGCGTCCTGGCGCAGCCGATCCGATGCGATTCCGACTTCGTGCCGATGCGGCCGGATTCGAAGCACGTTCCGATCCGATCCGATTTCCCATTCGATGCTGATTGGTCGTGCCACAAGTCAGCGGCGGTCGAGGGGGGGAGTGAGAAAGAGAAGGCCTTCTCAGAAGGAGGCGGAGTTCATCGGATGCCCTCGCGCCTCCTGAGAAGTCTTCTGCGTTTTCGGGGAAGGCTTAGAAAGCTTCTCAGAAGGCCAGGGGACCCCCGAGCCTTCTCAGAAGGCCTTCTCCTTCTCACTTCCCCCCTCGCTCGCCGCCGAGATCGATCCTTCCACCAAGAGGGGGGGGCAACGACAGGGTGGGTGGGGACTGGCCAATCAGGGGAAGCATCGGGCCCCAGACCCAAATCCCCTCGGCTCACACCAACAAACAAAGGCGGAGGTTTTTTGCCCGTTCTCGGCCCCTGGGGGCCTTTGCCAGGGGCCGTGACAGCACACCACAGGATGAAGCGCCCGTCCTGGGGAAGTGGTCTAGACCTCTGGAGGTCACCGTCGTGAACAGATCATGATGTCGGGGATCTACAGTGCCGTTTTTAGTACATGCTCCGCGTGCGGATCATGTATGAAACATGCAGGGATTTACTTAGTATTGAAAACAACGATGGTTCCATGCATAGATTTATTCATACGTTAATCATGTATTGAGCATCACATATCAAAACAAAACCTCTGTATTAAAAACCGTCCTGTAGGATCGCCCGCTCGTCGCCGACGGGGCCTTGGGCCCCCCTCTCCCGCCCAGGAGCCTGCGGCCTCGCCCTCCGCGGGCCCACCGCCGGGGGTCTCTCGGCGGTCCCTCGCAGCCTCTCGGTGGCTTGCCGCCGATTCGGCCCCGATGCGTCCCCCCCCTCGAGGGCTCGTCGCCTCCCAGCGTTCCCCCTCGCCGACGGCCAGTCCGTGTCGTGGCGACTCGTGCGCTGTGCTCCAGCACCGCGCGGATCGTTCAGCCCTGAGCAGCGGGGGCCGATCGCCGATCCGTCGGCGATCTGTCGCTGCTTCAGCCTCGATGCTCCCCCCCTTGAGCTCTTCGCCTCCTAGCGTTCCCCGTCTAGGTGGCCGTTCGCCGCCCGATGCGACCTCGATGCTTTCCCCCCTTGAGGTCGTCTCTAAGGGGCCACATGCGAACCCTACCCCTACCCCCCACGATTTCTGAGGGGGAGGGTGGGGTTCACTTCGTTCGGGAGCTCCCGGACGAAGTGAACCCCACCCTCCCCCTCAGAAATCGTGGGGGGTAGGGGTAGGGTTCGCATGTGGCCCCCTAGTCTCCTCCCATCGTCCCCTGTCACCTACGGCTGCTCCGTGTCATGACGGCTCGTGCGTTGGGTGCTGGCACCGCGCGGAGCGTTGCGCCTCGAGCGAGCGCGGCTCTCCGGTAGGGCATGTCGCTCGACGGCGGCCGCTTCTGGGCCGCTGGCGGCGTGGCACGCCGAGCGCCTTCGGCAGCTACTCATGGGAGCCGTGCGCGTCCTCGAAAGTCGGCCTTCAGAGGGCAGCAGCGTGCGCTAAAGCGTCTGGTGTGCTCGGTGTGAGAGCGCCGGTCTAAGGCGTCGAGTGGCGTCGGCTCGCAGGAGCCGGCCAGATGACATGGGGGGGCTCCCAGGAGTTGCCACAGATCGGCGGCGAGCCCGGGGGGGAAGTGAGGAGGAGAAGGCCTTCTCAGAAGGCTCTGTGGGAGAAACAAAAAATACAAAAAAACATACAAAACACACAAAACACACACACACAAACTGTGGGAAAACACACACGCAGATTGTGTGTTTTTTCCCACAGACTGTGTGTGTCTGTTTTTTTTGTTCCCCCTCTTTTTTTTTTTTGTGTGTGTGTGTGCGTGTGTGTGTGTGTGTGTGTGTGTGTGTGTGTGTGTGCGTGCGTGTGTGTGTGTGTGTGTGTTTCCCATAGACTGTGTTTTTCCCACAGAGTCCCCCGGCCTTCCGAGAAGCTTTCGAAGCCGTCCCCGAAGACGCAGAAGACTTCTCAGAAGGCGCGAGGGCTTCGGAGGAGCCCCGCCGCCTTCTCCGAGGGCCTTCTCCTTCTCACTTCCCCCCGGGCGCGCCGCCGAATGTGGTTTTGGGCTCATAACTCGGGTCCCCGGCGGCCGTTCGGGACGATCCGGGCACCCCCGGCACGCCCTCGGTGAGGCGCAGCTGCTGGCAGACGTCCCGGGGCTGCAAAACCGCCGAGAAGCGACGTCCGAAAACCTCGAACCTCGAACCTCGAAGGCCTTCTCCTTCGCACTTTCCCCCCTCGCTCGCCGCCGAGACGTGGGGGGCTCCCAGAAGCTGCCACGGAGAGCACCCGCGCGGGGAATATTCGCCGCCACGCCGGCACGGCCCGGGCCTGCCGCACCTCTGTATGAGGCCGCGGCCCCGCAGCGGGCCCGCGCAGCACCGCCGCGACCGCGCCGAGGACGCCGCGTCGGAATGCCGCCCGAGCTCGTAGCTGATTTGTCACCGGCTCGTGCAGCCGAGCGCACTGCAAGAACTCCTCATCATCATCATCATCATCATCATCATCATCATCATCATCATCATCATCATCACCACCATCACCATCACCATCACCATCACCATCATCACCATCACCATCATCATCATCATCATCATCATCATCATCATCATCATCATCATCATCATCATCATCATCGTCATCGTCATCATAATCATCATCATCATAATCATCATCATCACCACCATCAACATCATCATCAGCATCATCATCAGCATCATCATCACCATCACCATCATCATCATCATCATCACCATCACCATCACCATCACCATCATCATCATCTTTATCATCGTCATCATCATCGTCATCATAATCATCATCATCATCAGCAGCATCATCATCATCACCATCATCATCAGCATCATCATCATCATCATCTCGTCATGGCTTCTTTCGGCAGCAAACCACGGTAGCCTGGTGTACCCTCATAATTCGTTAGACCACCTACGCCCGGAGGGCTGGCAGGATTTCCTCCGGCCTGAGCCCGCCGCGCGGGCCACAGGCTGGAGCCCAGCCGCACTGGTGCGAGACTCGCGCGCAGTTTCGCGCGCAGGTTTCTGCTGCGCTCAAAATATAGAAAGAAACTCAGAGGAGGAAAGGGTACCCACGCATACCTCTACCCTTCGCCCGTTTTCCAAATTTTTCGGGCCTCCTGGGCGGCCCTTGTTGCCACCGCTGGATTCGCCTCGAAATTCTGGTCTGAACGCACCCCAGGAGAGGTCCAGGGAGTAGCGGTATCGGTACCTTTTGGCTTCTCCCAAAACACGCTCTATACATAGACTTCCGGAGCTCCGCGCGGATTTCTTGGATCTGCGCTGGGCCCCCTGACGGCGCCTCTGGCGCCGCCCCTGGCGCGCTGCTTCGCCCAGCGAGGATCCCAGAAATCCGCTCGGACCTCCAACAGTTTATGTTTATGCCGTTCTTTGGTTCTTCCAGAAATGTCTTCTCCGTTTCTCCCGCCTCCCAGCGCACCTCTGACATGCACGTCTTGCCTCTCTCGCAGATCACCGGCCCACTTGGATCGCTCCAGGCGTACAGCCTACTCCCTTCAGGACTGCTGCGCCGAAGCAGAGCTTCTTCAGGTCCGCGGGCGCCAGGTGGCCAAGGACAGTCGGACGCCGGTCAGCAGGCAGTGGGCTGCACCGGGAGCGGACGGGGGCCCAGAGGCACGAGGCACAGGGCGCGAGGGACCTGCCCAGACCGTGGAGGCCAGCGCGGGGGTGCCGTGGAAGAGCCTGCGCGCGGGCTCCGGGGCAGCGGAGGCCAGGGCCGCCCTGGAGAGGCAGGCCTTGAAGGCGCTGGAGCAAAGCAGGGTATCTTTGCGCTCTACGCTTACACTGGGCGGGATATTCATCGAGGGGTGGGCGACTAACCTTCCGACGGAGCTTGCCCATCCCCCCCCCCCTCCTCCCCCCCTCCTCCCCCCTCCTCCACCTCCTCCACCTCCTCTCCTCCTCCTCCTCCTCTTCCTCTTCCTCCTCCTCCTCCTCCAACCCCCCCCTCCACCCGTTCCGAGATCACGTGCCCAACCGCCCCAGCGGATCCAAGGGGGGGGGGTGACTACTGCCCCGTCCAGAGTAGTTCGGCCTTGGGACGCCGCTGCGCCTGCTGCGGATCCCAGAGGCTCCTGCCCACGCTCTCGGCTCGCCTGGCTTTGGGCAGCGCGGTGCACGCGAGCCATCGGGTACGTCGGCCACGCGCAGAGGGGGGTAGGGGTAGGGGGGAAGGCTGCTTGGAAGGAGGCTGCTTCTTAGAAGGCGCGGGCCTGATCTAGAAGTGTGAGGCCAGCGCCTTCCAGGCAGCAGCCTCCTTCTGGGCAGCCTTTCCCCCCTCTGCGCGCCGCCATCTTTGGGCAGCGCGGTGCACGCGTCCAATTGCGAGGACGTCTCAGGCAAGATCAGGCCCAAACCAGGCGAAACCAGTGCGAAACCAAGCAAGTTGCGAGGACGTCTCAGGCGACATCGCGCCGAAACCAAGCAAATCGCGAGGACGTCTCATGCGAAACCGGGCCCAAAGCAGGCGAAACCAGGGCGAAGACGGGCAACTTGCGAGGACGTCTCACGCGAAACCGGGCCCAAACCATGCCAAACCAGGGAGGCTCTTAGGACGTCTCAGGCGAAACCGGGCCCAAACCATGCCAAGGTTGTACAGGGCAGTTTTTAATACATGCTCCGCGTGCGGATCATGTATTAAACATGCAGGGATTTGGTATACAAAACAACGACGAGTTCATGCATACATTTATTCATAACTTAATCATGTATTAGAAGTCCTACTTTTTACATAAACAAGCATCCAATGTATTAAAACCTGCCCTGTAGGGTGCGCGCCGGGCACGCCGTGCCCTTCCCGGCCGCCGCAGCTCGGAGGCGAGCAGCCCAGGGGCGAGCAGCCCAGGGGCGGGCAGTGCGCGCACTTCGCTCGGGGCCCTCGCCGAAGGCGGGGGCCACCGGCGCCCCGGGATGGATGCTGTTCAGGAGGGGAAAAAAAACACACAGACACAATTCATCGTCGACTCCCAGAAAAGACGGGAAAATATGGGAAGTGGGGGGGAAGACAAAAGCACAGGCAATATGAGAAAATATGGGGAATCTTTTTATTTGTGTGTATTTATTTGTGTGTCCCAGGGCCCCTTCAGCTGTGCCTTGGCATCGCTCGGACGTGTGCATTTTTCCTTCGGCGAGGACCATCGAGGAGCATCCTTGATCACTTGGCGAAAAAACCACGCACGAAGCCGAACAAAAACACAGGGAATGGACGTCCGAGCGATGGCCAGGTGCCCAAGGGAGGAGAAGCGATACCAACACCACCAGGGGGCCCACCTCCAGCGAGGAGGTCCACAACGCCTCCCCGAGCGGGGAGACTGGGGATGTCTCGAGCGAGAGGGGGGTACCACACCACCAGGGGGACCCCCCTTGCCTCCGCGCGTCTCCTCGCCCTGTTGGTGTTGGTGTCGCCTTTCCTTGTTCCTAACTGAAGGGCTGCATCCCGGAAATAATTTCGAGCACTCAGAAAAGTATCGTAACCGTGTTTACCCGACACGTTAGCGAAGTGTCGACCGAGTATCGCCTCCCAGGGCCCGACACATGAAAACCCTCCAGTCTCTGTACTTCCTTGGCGCTCGAAATTCGTTTTGGTGATCGAGACCCACATAGGTTGGAACATCATATCCCAGGACACCTGCACGGCTCCCCCACCTGGGCTATTCGCTCCGATCGCCGCCTCCGAACAGCACACGCTTGGGAACACTGGTGCTGGAAAGGTCGACCACGCGCAGAGGGGGGCATGGGCCATGGGGGAGGGGGGAAGGCTTCTTTGAAGTGCCCCTACTTCTCAGAGGACGCGTGCCTTGTCTGTAGACGGAAGGCTGGCGCCTTCTAAGGAGCAGCCTCCTTCTAAGACGCCTTCCCCGCTCCCCCTACCCCCCTCTGCGCGCCGCCAATCTGCCCCCTCGGGCTGAAGCTGGAGCCGTCTAGGGGTCTGAGGTTGCCCAGCTCTGAATCTGGTCAGTAGGAAGGGGGCGGGCAGGGTCGAGTTTCTGGGTTCGATTTTTTTTTTTTTTTTTCTTTGTTTGCCTTTTTCGGCGGCCTCTGGGGGCCGTTTTCGGGCGCCAGAACTGTCAGAGACAGATCTGAGGTGATAAGCTGCACCAGATGGACCCTGGGAGGGGTCCGGGGACCGATTCTGAGCGGATCTACCCTCATCCCCCCTCCTGGCCGATGTTCAGGGGCCCCAGCAAGTTCAGACCCCCCAGCGGCCTCCAAGTCCAGACGCCGTTCGCCTCCGTGTTGCCTCCGCGCAGTTTTGCCGCGTGGCGCTTTTGCCCCCCTTGGGCTGAAGCCTTGCATTGTGTCGCGCCCGCGTGCTTAACCGCCCGTTGCCAGCCCGGTTCCCGCCCACTCGGGGGGGTCCGCCGAGGATGCGCCGCGTCGCCGCCTCGCTGCCGCCTCGCTGCCGCTCTCACTTGGGGGGTTCGTCGGGGTTTCGCCGCGTCCTTGCCCGCTGCTGTCTCGAGGAGTTGGGGGAGCCCTTTCTTCGAAGACGTTTTCGGCGAGTCGCCTCCCTGATCTGCACAACTCAGGAGAGAACAAAAACACACAGACACAATTCATCGTCGATTCCCAGGAACATCTGCGAAAACATGGGAAGTGGGGGGAAGACAAAACCAGGACAATATGGGAAAACATGGGGAATCCTGTTGTTTGTGTGTATCTATTTGTGTGTCCCAGGGCCCCTTCAACAACGCCCAGCCCGAAGATTGCTCAGACGGCTCAAGACTCTGGAGGTAGGAAAGGGGTGTGGTGCAAAGGGGTGTGGTGCCAATGCTGGATCTGTCGAGGTTATCTAGTGTTTCCACGATGGCACCACACCCCTTTATATGCCACACCCCTTGCCAACCTCCAGGAAGACGGCCGAGACGGTCCGGGATTATGTCTCTTGGTCCGTTTTGCCCCTGACGACCCAAGATACCCACGAGAGCGCCGTGGACGCTCTAGGCGCCTTGGAGGCCGTCTTGAACCGCATTGAGCCGTCTCGAAGGCCATCTGGAGCCGTCTCGAAGGCCATCTTGGACGCCATCGGGGCAATTGTGGACGACTGGGAGTGGTGCGATTTTCGGCGCCCTGTGCACCCTGGTATGTCGAACCGAAGGCGACCGGAGTCTCATCGGAAAGGCCAACATGAGCTATGCAAATTTGGTGCGCCACTATTCCTTCGCAGGCTGGGGGGGGCGGATCTGGTGGCGGTCGGCCCATTGTGCCTCTGTGTCTGCGTCGTGGGTCAGAGGCGTCTTGGATGCCGCCCGTGGTCTCTTGGGATTCTTTCTGCGGGGCCTCTTAGAGGCTTCTCGCTGGCCTCCCGTGGGCATCTTCGGGGGCTTCTCGGGACTTCTTGGGAGCCTCTTGTGGGTCGTCAAGGCGGTTGTCTAGGCACGATCTGGCTAAGAGGTCCACGAGTTGTGTGTGTGTGTGGCCCTTAAATCGTGTTTGATATATCCAACGCTGAGAATTGAATTCGAAGTGACCTGAGAACGCTCCACTCAGTGCCTTGCGGCACGGTGGTGGATTGCCGTGTTTGGCCGTTAACCGACTCGCATTCATGTCGAGCCCCGCTGCTGCCTTTTCCCACCTCTGAGCTCAACCGTTCGCTTGCTGCCCGCGGTAACCAAACTCCACCGTCTTCTTTCCCCCTCCTTCATCTTCCCAACTCCTTCCTCCCATGTTACTCCTGTCTCATCTCTCATCCTTCCTCCCACCTCTCTCCTCCTTCCTGGCGAGGCATGCTCGTGGACCAGCGTTTCTGCCCCCGCATCGTAGAGGGCGAGCTCCGCTACAACATGGCCCCCCCCCTGAGAACTTTCCCTCTGGCTGAAGTGTATGGGGAGGACGGAGAGGAGGCGGTGGATCAGGTCTGCACCGGAATCGGCATTCATCATCAGTTAGCAGATCACCGGCAGACGTAACAACCAACATCAGCGGGCGTAAACACCCAAACATGTGATTATAATAACATGTTGCGATTCAGCATCAGCAGTACCACTGCTAGTCGTATGAGCTGCGGGAGGGGCATCATACGATGATGAGGGGTAAGAGGATGGTGATGATGAGACTGATGGTGGTGATGATGATGACGATGACGATGGCGATGATAATGGAGCTGATGATTTTGGTGATGATGCGGATGCTGACGATGACGGTGATGATGGTGATAATGATGCTAACACTGATGATGATGATGATGATGATGATGATGATGATGATGATGCTGCTGATGATGATGATGCTGCTGATGTTTTTGATGCTGAAATTGTCGTTCATACTGGTGAGAAGGAGGATGATGTTGATGATGTTTATGATGGTGGTGTTCTTGGTAATGGCGTCGATGAGGTCGATGATGACGATGATGATGCTGATGATGCTGATTGTGATGATGATGATGAGGATGATGATGAGGAGGAGAATCGCGCGTAAACTTCTGTGCAGCTCGATGATCCTGATGATGATTGTGATGATGTTGATGCTGATTATGGTGATGATTCGGATTTTGAGGATTATGATGGTGATGTTGTTGATGATACCGTGTGGCAGGATCATGATGATGACAACTGTGATGATGATGATGACGATGCGGATGATGATAATGATGATGATGCTGATGATGCTTATCTGATGGTGGTGGTGACGATGCTGATGATGATGTTGATGATGCTGATGCTGGTGTTGTTGCCGATGATGATGATGCTGCTGATGATGATGATGATGCTGATGGGGAGGAGGATGCTGATTCTGATTATGATGATGGTGGCGTTCTTCGTGATGATGGCGATGATGGTGATGACGATGACGACGATGATGATGCTGATGCTGATGATGACGGTGATGTTGATGATGATGTTGATGATGCTGACGATGATGAGGACCATGATGATGATTTTGAAGACGATGAGGCTGAGGATGACGACGATGCTGATGATGATGGCGACGATGCTGTTGATGCTGCTGCGGCTGATGCTCATTACGACGATGATGATGATGAGGATGGTGATGATGCTGCTGATGATGACGATGATGATGCTGATGTTGATGATTAGGATGATGATGATTATGATGATGACGACGCGGATGGTGATGGTCATGAGGATGATGCTGATGATTATGCTGATGTTGATGATGCCACTCATGAACATGCTGATGATGCTGATGATGATGAGGCCGACAATGCTGATGATAATGCTGACGACGATGGTGATGCTGATCATGATTTTTCAGCTTTTTAAGATTATGCTGATGTCGATGCTGATTCTGACGCGGATGCTGATGATGATGTTGATACGGATGATGATGCTGATGTTGATAGCAATGATGACGATGACGATTACTATGCTGATGATGATAGTGATGATGATGATGATCATGTTCTTCATGATCTGGATGACACTTATGATGGTGGCGGTGTTCTTGGTGGTGATGGTGATAGTTTCGATGACAATGATGCTGGTGACACTGATGATGTTGATGACGATGCTGATGATGATGATGATGATGATGAGGATGATGGTGATGATGATGATGATACTGAGGATGATGATGATGATGATGATGATGATGATGATGCTGATGTTGATACTGCTGATGATTCTGCTGCTGATGATGCTGATGGTGATGGCGATGGTGATGGTGACGGTGATGGTGGTGATAATGGCGATGGTGGTTATATGTTGCTGCGGCTGCTGTTGATGATGACGATGAGGATGATGATGCTGAGAATGAAGCTGCTATTGCTGCTGCTGGTGATGATGAACGTGGTGGTGGTGGTGGTGGTGACGAGGATGAGGAGGAGGATAAGGATGAGGAGGAGGAGGAGAAGGAGGAGAAGGAATGTCACGGAGCTGAAGGAGCACAGTATCAGGATGCGTTGATTACCTTGTTTGTGCCTCTTGCCCTCATGCTGTTGTCATGGGAATGAGCGCACAGAGAGGAAAAGGATGGGGGGAGGAGGGATGAACAGAAGGGTGACGGGGATGAGGAGGAGGAGGCTGAGGAGGAGGAGGACGACGAAACATAATAGGAGTATCATAAAGCATCATAATACTTCTCAGACGAATGCTAATACTAATATTGCTAGTAAGACGGAGCATACAACTGATAGGAGTAATTGTGATACGAGAAGACTGCGACTACTACCACCAGTACTATTCAGAATCCTATTAATAGTACGAATGATTGTACTACTAAGAAGAAGACAAAACACAATCCATATAGTATGAAGAAGAACAAGAATAACACAATGACTGGTAATACTACTACGAATGAGAAAACTATGAATACTACTAAGAAGAAGAGGAGGCGGAGGAATAGGAGGAGGGGGGGAGCAGGAGGAGGAGGAGGAGGAGGAGGAGGAGGAGGAGGAGGAGGAGGATAAGGGAAGGCACGCAGGAGGACAAGGAGGGAGATTTGGACCAGGGGCAGGAGGAGGAAGAGGAGCAGGGCGACGAGGAGGGGGCGGAAGGGGGGTGGGGGGGCAGGGGCGGGAGGGGAGGCCAGGAAGGAGGGTACTTGGGAGGGAGAGGCGTGGGGAGTTTGGGGGCGGAGGCGAAGAGGGCAGCCAGGAGGAGGGGCCACACGATCGCGGAGACATCGGAGCGCCAGGTCGCCGACGTCCTCGTAGGGATCATCCACAAGAAGCCCAAGGAGGGCGGCATCTCCGCCGTCGGCGGCACTGGCTCGGTGGGAGCGGGCTGCTGCAATCCGGCCCGGTCTTGCGGCAGAGGGGAGGAGGAGGAGGAGGAGGAGGAGGAGGAGGTGGAGGAGGAGGACCCCAAGATCCAGGCGTTGCATTTTTTTCGCTCAAGGCGTTTTCGCTCAGCCTCGGGCCCCTTGACCCTCACATATCGATGCGGCTCGAGACATGCCGCAGCAAGGTGGGGCCTGGGGCTCAGGTCGTGATTTCTCGCGAGGTTGCAACATGTTCGCAAACTCAGACCTGCGGGGAGGGTGAAGGGGAGAGCGAGGGGAAGGTGGGAGGGGGGGCCTACACCCCTGTTTATCTTCGCCGCCTCACCTTTCCTCTTCTTCCTTCCCTCTCGCCCTGCTCTCCGTCATTTCTCTCTACTCCCCCATTTCGTATTTTGCACCTCTTGATCTTCCTCCATTGCCTTACTATCTTCCTTCTCTCCCTCTTCCCCCATCTATTTCCTCGGCTCCCTCATCCTCACCCTCACTGTCCGCCGAGGGAGGAGGAGAAGGAGGAGGAGGAGGGGGCGGATCAGGCGGAAAGCTAATCGGAGGACGGGGAAACGAGAGAGAGAGAGAGAGAGAGAAAGAGACCAGAACAAGAGAGAGAGAGGGATAGAGGGACGGAGACGGAGGAGTTACAGGAGAGTGTGGATTGGGGGGGGGAAAGAGTGAGGACTGGGGTGGGGGGAATGAGGCCGAGGGCATGGTCGTTGAGGAGTCGACGATGGATGTGGATGGGAGGAAGGGGGCGGGTTACGGGCTGAGAAGCAGGAGGAGCAGCAGGAGCATGAGCATGAGCAGGAGCAGGGGCAGGGGCAGGAGCAGAAGCAGGATGATGCTGCTGATGATGCTGCTGATGATGATGCTGATGATGATGCTGGTGATGATGATGATGATGATGATGATGATGATGATGATGATGATGATGATGATGCTGCTGCTGCTGCTGCTGATGCTGCTGATGCCGATGATGATGGTGGTGATAATTCCGATCTTGATGATGATGATGCTGATAGTGATGACGGTGATGATGATATTGCTGACGATGCTGATGCTGATGATGTTGATGTTGCTGCTGATGATACTTATGGTGGTGCTGATGCTGATGATGATGCTGCTGATGATGATGACGATGATGGTGGTGGTGGGGCGGATGATGAGGATGATGAGGATGATGAAGAGCAGGATGATGCTAAGTATGATGGTGATGTTCATGATGATAAAGATGATGATGATGATTACAAGGGTGATGCTGACGATGCAGCTAATTCTGATGATGCTGATGATGCTGACGATGTCGTTGATACTGATGATGCTGATGAACACGATGATGATTATGATGATGCTGATTCGAATGGTGACACTGATGATGATGATGCTGATTATGATGATAACGATGATGATGATTATGATGATGATGATGATGATGATGATGATGATGATGATGATGATGATGCTGATGATGATGATGATGATGATGATGATGCTGATGATGCTGATGATGCTGATGATGATGATGATGATGTTGATACTGATGATCATGCTGAGGATGGTGATGCTGCTGCTGCTGATGATGATGATGTTGGTGATGATTCTGATATTGGTGCTGATGCTGATTGTGATGCTGCTGATTATGATGACGATGATGGTGGTGGTGACTGGGGCGGATGATGAGGAGGATGATGAGAACGAGGAGAAGCATAATGATGATGATGATGATGCTAATTCGGATGATGATGCTGATGATGATGGTGATGCTGATGATGCTAATGATGATGTTGATGATGCTGATGGTGATGCTGATGGTGATGATGATGTTGATGATGATGCTGATGATGATGGTGGTGGTGATGATGATGCTGCTGATGCTGATTGTGATGCTGCTGATGATGATGACGATAATGGTGGTGTTGGTGGGCGGATGTGGAGGAGGACGAGGACGATGATGATGATGAGGATGATGGCGCTGATGCTGATGACGATGATGATCATGATCATGATGACGATACTGCTGATGATGAGTATGTTTTCTTGATGATGCTGCTGATGATGATGACGATGATGATGATGATGATGATGATGATGATGATGATGATGATGATGATATTTTTTGTGGGGTGGTTTTGATGGTGGTGGTGATGACTTTGGTGGTGATGATGTTGGGCGATGATGATGAGGATGATTGAACGGATGAGTAAGAAAGGGAGGAGGACGGAGGAGAGCAGACGGATTATGCTTGCGTCGAGTATTGACGTATTGATATAGTGGATAATGCTTCCGATCATGATGATTGTGATGACATCATCGTCATCATTATCATTATCCCGCGATTGCGCGTTTCCAGTCTGGCGTGCCAGCCTTGTCGATGACCGGCGCTCGCCTGCTGGCCAGATCTACACCTTCTACGGGGGCGACGAGCCCAAGTTCAAGAGCCTCACCGACAACTTCCTCGTCAAGGAAACCGCTGCAACTCACCCTCCTTGCCAGCGGAGGATTTGTGCTCGAATGTTGGGCGGAGGCGCGCGTGACCGCCGCTGCAGCTTTCCACAGTGAGTGTAGAGTGGGGGGGTTGAATCGCCGCTCTTCCATGCATTATGAGTCGTCAATCACTCGTGGTGCTGCTTTGCTCTTACCCCTCCTCGCCCTCTTTCCCTCCCTTCCTCCCTTCCTGCCTTCCACGCCCCCCCAGGACCTCCCGCACGTCATGCCGGCCCTCGGCCTTGCCGACGAGCCGATCCCGCTCTGGTGGACGACCGATTTCATCTTGGCCTCGCCGGAGGGTACTCCCTCGGATCAGGACACCGTGGCGTTTTCTGCTCTTGCTTGGGAGGAGGCGGAGGCGTTGTTGGATGGAGGGGAGGAGGATATCACTCAGCTTATTCGACGTCTTCGTGGTAGCCGTATCGATATTTGTCTTCCAAGTCTTCGCAGTTCTCCTGCCCTCTTCGTGTTCCGCTTCGTGTGCCCAGTCCTGTGCCGTTGCCATCATCAGTTCCCTTTGGAATCAGGAGTGGGATCGGTAGACACCTGTTGATGCTGACTGTGATGGCGATGACGATGGCGTAGGAAACGGTTGCGATGACGCGTTTTCCAGCCGATGTTTTAGCTGGACGATTCCGCATACCGAATAGTAACGTTCAGCGTGCAAAGACAACCAGCAAGGAAGGCCCCTCTTTGGCAACACCCGTGTCGAGCACAACAGGCTGTCCCAGGCGCTCACCATTGATAACCAGTTGCAGCGCGAAGCCGACGATGCGGGCTACTTCAGACGGCTCGCTCCATCCCCTACTCCCCCTGCCCCCTCGCCGTCGTCGTTGTCGTCCTCCTCCCTTGTCCTCATCTCAGTAGGGCAGTGTTCAGTCCGTGACAGTCCTTGATTAATTTCTACGTACCACCTCAGCCGCACCTGCGGATGACTTCAGGATTTCGCACAGGCGTTCCTCATCGACCAGCCTTCAGGCCCCTGTCCAAGCCTCTCCATTCCAGTCACAATTCCTCCTCGTGCACTCTTCGACGTCATCCTCACCCCCCTCCTCCGCCCAGGAAAAGTGGATCGTTGGTGAGTTCAACTGCTCGTGCGTGGGTATCTCCAAGTGCCTGGCGGCTTACTGCAAGGACGACACGCCGAATGCATGCTACGACGACATCTCGGCCGAGGATTCTGCTCAGGGGAGGAGGAGGAGGAGGAGGAGGAGGAGGGGGTGGAGTGTGGATGATGATGTTGCTGCCTGCTGTGGCATCCACGACGACGACGAGGCGACGACTGGGCGACGACGACGCCGACGCCGACGCCGACGCCGACGCCGACGCCGACGACGACGACGACGACGACAACGACGACTTCGCGGTGACTTCCGACATCGTCATCCTCTTTGTCTGGCACGAAGCCCCAGGCGGCCCCACCGGCTCCCAGGGTGGGCTCAGCAGCCCACGAGGATCGGGGGCGGCAAAGAGGGGGGTGATTAGGGGGGGGGATTTCATGGAGCGGGCCATGATTTTTCCTCAGATTGCATGGCGCCTCTTCTCATTTCATTACGATCCTGGTCCCCTCGCTGGGCCGCGCACATGACGCCGGTCATGATGTGCACCCCCCCCCCTCTTGGACACCCCCCTCTTGGCCGCTCCCGAGAGGACCCACCACCCTTCTTCGGTGCCCCTCTCCTCGGGCTCTGGTCCTCATCCTCCTCCACCTCGTTCCTCCTCGTGCTCGTTTTCCTCATGCTATTCCTCGTCCTTGTTCTTGTCTTCCTCCTCGCTGTTTCTCTGCTCCCCTCGCTGGCCTCCCCGTCTTCCACGCTGTCGTCCTCGTCACCCGCCGCCTTTTCGCTGCCATCATCCTTCTCCTCTTCGTCCCCCTTACGAGCCCAAAGGGCAAACGTGGCTCTTCCCGTTTCGCGTATCCCGACCAGCCCGTTCGGAATTTCAGCCTATACGAGCCGATTGGTAACGGGACGACTAGACACATGTAGTGAAACGAAGTGGACAATCATGATGAACAGCGGTATCTCCGGGAGCAAGGGGGTGGTGACCTTGGAGGGCCTCGTCGGGCCATCCCTGGGGCCCGCGGGGGGGCGACGGGAGGAGGAGGAGGAGGAGGACGAGGAGGAGGAGGAGGAGGAGGAGGAGGACCAGGAGGAGGTGGAGGAGGAGGAGGAGGAGGAGGAGGGAGGGAGAGAGAGGAGGGAGGGAGGGAGGGAGGGAGGGAGGAGGAGGAGGAGGAAGAGGAGGAGGAGGAGGGGAGGAGGAGGAGGAGGAGGAGGAGGAGGAAGGAGGAGTGGAGGAGGAAGAGGAGGAGGAGGGAGGGAGGAGGAAGGAGGAGGGAGGAGGAGGAGGAGGAAGGCAAACAGCCTCTTGGAGCCCTCGTGGGTGGGGAGCTCTTGGGGCGCTCTAGGACTCCCGGGCGCTTTGGGGCCGTCTTGAGGCCCTTCTGGGGCCCTCTTCTGAGCCCTGGAGGGCCTCCGACGACCATTTGGGAGGCCATCGTCCAAAGGAGGGGGTGGGTCTTAGATTCCCCGTCCCCCTGGGCCATCAACATCGCCTCTCGGGACCCTCTTGGGGTTTTCTTCGGACGCTCTTGGGCGTTTTTTTGGGGGGCCGTCAGGGGGGCCTCTTGGGCCCGTGTTGGGGCTCCCTCGGGCTATCCTGGGGCAGCCGCAGGGCCTCAAAAACACATCCGAAGCGGAAATGCGAGACTGCACACGCTGTTGATGTTTCTTTGGTTTCGACGGGATTTCGGCCTCTGGGGGGGGGGGAGTCCTGAGGGTGCTCCAGGAGCACTTGGAACCGTCTTGTGGCCTTCGCCAGGCCTCGTGGAGGTAATCATCTCGGAAGTTATCCTGAACCATCTTCGGCTATCTTGAACCGCCCTGGAGGCCATCTTGGAGCATCGAAAGCCCTCTTGGAGCCATCTTGGGCGAACGCGGATCTCCTGACACCTCGCGACCCTCCCCTACCAAAAACAACTGCAGGGGGGAGAGGGAGGGTACCACTCCCCGAAGGGAAGAGGTTTTTGGAAGAGGAGAGGACAACCTAGTTAGACCATCTTAGCCCAAAAGGCTGGTTGATGTTTTGGTTGTTGTTGTCGTCGTTGTTGTTGTCGTTGTTATCGTTGTTGTTGTTGGTGTTGTGGTTGTTGTGGTTGGTGTTGGTATTGTTGTTATTGTCGTTGCTGTTGATGTCGTTGTTGTTGTCGTTGTTGCCGTTGTTGTTGTTGTAGTTGTTGTTGTTGTTGTTGGTGGTGGTGGTGGTGGTGGTGGTGGTGGTGGTGGTGTGGTTGTTGGTGTTGGTGTTGTTGGTGGTGGTGGTGGTATTGTTGTTGTTGTTGTTGTTGTTGTTGTTGCTGCTGTTGTTGTTGTTGGTGTTGTTGGTGTTGTTGTTGTCGTTGTTGTTGTCGTTGTTGTTATTGTCGTTGTTGCCGTTGTTGTTGGTGTTGTTGTTGGTGGTTTTGTTGTTGTTGTTGTTGGTGGTGGTTGTATTGGTGTTGTCGTTGTTGGTGTTGCTGTTGTTGCTATTGCTGTTGTTGTCGTTGGTTTTGTTGCTGTTGCTGTTGTCGTTGTTGCTGTTGTTGCTGTTGTTGTTGTCGTTGTTGTTGCCGTTGTTGGTGGTGTTGTCGTTGTTGCCGGTGTTGTTGGTGTTGTTGTTGTTGTTGGTGGTGTTGTTGTTGTTGTTGGTGGTATTGTTGGTGGTGGTGTTGTTGTTGTGGTTGGTGGTGGTGGTATTGTTGTTGGTGTTGTTGTTGTTGTTGTCGGTGTTGTTGTTGCTGCTGTTGCTGTTGCTGTTGTTGTTGTTGCTGGTGGTGTTGGTACTGGTGTTGTTGTTGTCGTTGTTGTGGTTGTTGTCGTTGTTGATGTTGTTGTTGTGGTTGTTGTTGTTGTTGGTGGTGGTGGTGGTGGTGTTGTCGTTGTTGCCGTTGTTGGTGCTGCTGTTGTTGTTGTTGTTGTTGTTGTTGTTGTTGTTGTTGTTGCCGTCGTCGTTGTTGTTGTTGTTGTTGTTGTTGTTGTTGTTGTTGTTGTTGTTGTTGTTGTTGTTATTGTTGGTGTTGTTGGCGTTGTTGGTGTTGTTGTTGTTGATGATGTTTTTGCGGTCCCGCGCTGCAGCACGGGCCTCAGTTTAGGACCCGCGCTTTGCTCCCGTCGTTCCTGCTGGCGCTCGCGCCCCAGCGCGGGCCGCCTCTCGGAACCCGAGGGCCTTCCTCTCGTGGCTGCTGCCCCGTTCCTCTGCCCCCCCCCCGCCTCCCCGCGGTCCTCCTGCGCCTCCCGCCCCTCCCGCTCCCGCTCCCGCTCCTGCTGCTCCTGCTGCTGTTCTGTTTCCTCCCTTTCCTCCCCTTCCTCCCCTTCCCCCCTTCCTCCTCTTCTTCCTCCTCCTCCTCCTCCTCATCCTCCTCTTTCTCTTCTTCATCCTCCTCCTCATCCTCCTCCTCCTCCTCCTCATCATCATCCTTCCTCCTCCTCATCCTCCTCATCCTTCTCGTCCTCCTCTTCCTTACGCATCTTCCCCCTAATCCTGCTCATCCTCATGCTCATCCGCCATCTGCTCACATGCGCGCAGCTACCTTTCTTTTTGATTGCGCATGACACGATGGGGTCCTTGGACCCGTCGGCGGATAGAGACAAACACGCAGCTCAATGGGATGGATCGGATGGGGGGGGGGGATGTGAGATGTGACGCGAGCGCACCCAGCTTGCCCCGCCGCCCCTCCCCATCCCCCCCTCCCCCTGGCCCTCCCCTCCCCCTCTCCGTGGGCCTCCAGGACGATGGCTTCCTGGCATTCCCCCTGACCCTCCCCCATGACACTCCCCCTCTCCCCCCCTCCTCCTGCCCCCCCCCCCTGCCCCATCCCTCCCCCCCCCCAGGACAGGGTTGAGCTGAAGATGTACGAGGGCTTCCTGGGCCAGAAGGCGCAGGAGCTCCTCCGCAAGGCGCGCGGGATCGCGCGCGGGAGCCCTGAGAGAGCACCGCGGCCGAGCGCATTTGCCCGCCGCCCCCTCTGCTCCCCTCCTGCCCCCTTCTCCTCCTCCTCCTCCCCCCCCTCCCTCCGCCTTCCTCCTCCTCCTCCTCCTCCTCCTCCTCCTCCTCCTCCTCCTCCTCCTCCTTCCTACTCCTCCTCCTCCCTCCTCCTCCACCTCCTCCTCCACCTCTACCTCCACCTCCACCTCCTCCTCCACCTCCACCTCCTCCTCTCCCGCTCTCCTCCCCCCCCTTGTTCACCCCCCCACATCCTCCTCCTCCTCCTCCTCCTCCTCCTCCTCCTCCTTCTTCGCTCCTCCACCTCCCACCTCCACCTCCACCTCCACCTCCCTCTCCTCCTCTTCTCCTCCTCCTCCTCCTCCTCCTCCCATCGCGATCTCCTTCCAGTCCCACCTCTGGCCTCCTCCTCCTCCTCCTCCTCCTCCTCCTCTTCCTCCTCTCGTCCTTCTCCTCCTACTACATCCTCCTCCCTCCTCCTCCTCCTCCTCTTCCCCCTCCTCCCTTCTTCCTCCTTCCTTCCACATCCTCCTCCTCCTCTTCCTCCTCCTCGTCCTCCTCCTCCTCCTCCTCCTTCCCCCTCCTCCTCCTCCGCCTCCTCCTACTACTTCCCAGGTTCCCAGAGGGGTCCCAAGAGCAGACTACACACCACCAACCAGCATCACGGTTCACCTCGACGCTTTGCGGGGGGCTCTCGTGAGATGCTGGCTATGCCCATCTTTGTAGGCGATCTTCCATCCAGCACGCATCTGAGCGTCGAGTCGCTCCACCTCGTCTTGTGGGAGGGGGGACACTGCTCAAACTTGGTACTGCACTGGGCTCTACAGGGGGTCGGCGCCGGGGGGATACTTATACACGTGAACGACCGCCCTCCACCTCGAGCCAAACTCAGTGCCACAAACAGGACACACGGCATCCGAGCCCACATATCTTCGCGCCAGGCACCTCAAGTTATGCCTTCGCATCTTGTGGGGGTGCAAGGCTTGAGGGGAGGCGACCGCAGGAGGGGGGTAAACACCCTCCCCTACACAGCCCGCACACGTACGGACGCGACGGGGTCTGGTCTCCAACTATGGCCGCCGGAAACTCTGCTTGGGCCGAATCGGCCACCGAGTCACAGTACACCAGTTTCTGAACCAGCGGGCTCCACAAGGAGCCACGCTCGCGGATAAAGTGACCCCAGGCCCGAGGATTGTCACGGGGTTTGGGGAGGAAGAATTTCGAGTTCTGAACTACCTGCGAATGCAGCTGGCGCAGATCAGAACAAATCAGGGCCGCCCATGGGGGCGGCTGTCCTTTCTGCTTGGAGTGCAGCAGCGGTGGCAATTCAACTGGACCACTAGTTAGAAGACGCCTGAGGTAAAGCAAACGTGCACGCTGCAGGAAACAGTCAACTGGCGGAATCTGCCTGCGCATCCGAATCTCAAAATCGTGATGCTCAATTCTCTCGTGGCGGATCTCTCCGAAGATCCGTGGCAGCGCTCTCATCATGACACAATTCAGGGTTCTGATATATTGCGTGCTCGGTACAACAGTATGGGCATTAAAGAAAAGCCAACTGAAGAGTAGAGAGGACAGCACATGCAACTTCACCCAATCGTGAACGACAGGCGGGCCGAAAATCCTGGTCGCGAGAGGCGACTGTGCCGCAAGCATCGACATCTCTTTGTGACGGGCATCAGCTACGCACACACTATTCAATGATAGCATCGATCCTAGGTGCTTATACTTGTCCACAAACTGCAATATTTGCTCACTGCCTGGGACAGGAAAAGGCAGCCTACCTTCGAACAAGTGGGACCTGAACACTTAACTCAGCAGCGGGTGTCTCTACTTGGAGGGCTAGCCCCTCCTCGCGCAGTCGACTCTGGAGAACATGCATAGCTATCGAATGTACTGCATTGAATACGTAGCACCCCGCAATTGCGGATACGAGTGAGGGGGCGGGCGCGGGCGACGCGGGCGTCGTCGAGCCGGCGGACCTCGTGGCCCCCACCTTCCCTGTCGATGGCGCTCTCCTCCTCCTCCTCCTCCTCCTCCTCCTCTTCCTCGTCCTCGTCCTCGTCCTCATCGTCATCGTCATCCTCCTCCTCCACCTCGTCCTCCTCCACCTCCTCTTCTTCGTCGTCCTCCCTCTCCCCCTCGTCCTTCCATCATCGTCCTCCCATTGTCGTCCTCCCCCTCATCGGCCTCCATCATCGTCCTCCCATTGTCGTCCATCATCCCCCTCCTCCCTTCCTCCCTCCTCCCCCTTCCTCCCCCTACCGCCCTCCTCCCCCTCCTCGTCCTCCTCCTCCCCCTCCTCCCCCTCCTCCTCCTCCTCCTCCTCCTCCTCCTCCTCTTTCTCCACATTCTCCTTACATCCTCTCTTCTTCCGCGTCCTCCCCGTCCCCTTTTTACTCCTCCTGCCTCCCCCTCCTTTCCCAAGGTAACGGCAACGCAATCCTTTCTTCCACTTTATGCTCCCCGACTTCTCTGATCAAGGCAACTCGCCAGGGCAAAGTTGCTGGACGGGCTGGTGTGGATGCGCGGGGCTTGAAGGGGTCGTTGCGGGCTCAGACGGCATGCAAAAATCCGCCGCCGCGCTTGTGCGGCATTGGTTTGTTCAGTGAACGTGGTTTGGGTCGCGGGTGGGTCGCGGGTTTTCCACTTCCACCTGGAAGGAATGCAAAAGCAAGCAGCAGCCGCCGCAGGCGCCGAAACACCTGGTTTGTACACTGAACGTGGTTTGGGTCGCGGGTGGGCCGCGGGTTCTCCACCGGAAACGAATTCAAAAGATGCCCGCCGCAGGCGCCGAACAAATCGGTGTGTACCCTGAACGTGGTCGCGGGTGGGCCGCGGGCTCTCCACCTGAAGCGAATGCAAAAGATGCCCGCCGCAGGCGCCGAAAAATGTGGTTTGTACCCTGAAAGTGGTTTGGGTCGCGGGTTGGTCGCGAGTTGGTCGCGGGCTCTCCACCTGGAAGAAATGCAAAAAAAGCCCGCCGCAGGCGCCGAAAATAGTGATTTGTATCTTGAACGTGGTTTGGGTCGAAGGTCGCGGGTGGATCGCGGGTGGGTCGTGGGGTTGGTCGCGGGGCGGGTCGCGGGGTGGGTCGCGGGGTGGATCGCGGGGTGGGTCGTGGGGTGGGTCGCGGGGTGGGTCGCGGGTGGGTCGCGGGTGGGTCGCGGGGTGGGTCGCGGGGTGGGTCGCGTTTGGGTCGCGGGGCGGCTTGCGGGTGGGACGACGACAACAAACAACAACAACCAACAACAACCAACAACCAACAACAACCAACAACAACCAACAACCAACAAACAACAAACAACAAACAACAAACAACAACAAAATCAACAACAACAACAACAACACGAATCCGCACCGCGGAATCCCATTTCAGCCACGCACCCAGGGACAGTGAATGACTGTTCGGCCCCCTCACTCAGATCATGGGTCCTACCTTACACACCTGGCGCCCCCCCAAGTCTAGGACACGCAACCTGTTCGACGGACCCTATGCTAAACCACGAGTGCGCGTGCAACGAACACAGGAGTCCACTCACACAAGGGTCAACTTGCCACTGCTCCAGGAGGGGTCCGTTTCTTTCCAGCTGCCTTAGGATCTGCTCTGCTACTTGCCTGCCTAGGCCCAGCGTTGCAAGATGCGACAGGCGCGCCTCGCGATCAGGAGCGACGGCAGACGGAAAGCCGAACGCCAACTCCCTCACCACCCTGTCGAAGGCTTTCACAAGGTCCACAAACAGGATGCAGACCGACCACCCTCTTTTCCCCGCACGCGCGATCACATTCTGCGCGGTGTGGCCGGCAGAGTCTGTGCCACGGCGGGGTACTGCTCCAAACTGGGTCGTGGGCATCATCGCATTATACACGGGGGCGATGGAACGTTCCATGCGGCCGACGAACGACTTGCCCGAGTGGTCCGCCAATATAATACCCCGGTGCTTGTCCCTCTCCTTCACATCCCCCTTCCCTTTAAAGAGAGACGCAATTTTGCCGCCTGTCCACTGTCGCGGCAACTCATCGTATTGGCGTTGCTGTTTTCGATGCTGTTGAGGTGGATTACCAAGGGCCAATCGCCCGCTTGCAGGAGTTCCGCTGGGACCCCATCGCAACCAACACTTCTGTTTTTGGCGAGCCTCAGGGGCGACTCGTAGTTGGCCTCGGGGGACATGTTTAGACGCGTCGATCCTATGCGAGTCGAGCTAGGTACCGATATTTCTTCAATATGCTTTGATTGAGCTTGAAATACTTTACTATCGTGCTGTAGCCAGGCCCGATCTCTCTTACATGCCGATGCAGTCAGCTCATCAGAAATCCCTGTCACACCACCTTTCGTCAACATGCGAATAATCTTGAACGTCCTTATGCGAATCGTCCATTCAATGCTTGATTATCGAACTCAGCAGCCTGTGATTCCGACATAATGTTGCGGTCAACGTCGCACAGAGGCTTGATCGGTCTCTTCAAGACATGCTGGCAATGAACAAAGCATTCAACGCACCGCCGCATGCGGACCAGATTGCAGTGAAGATCTGAGTAGACCCCAACCGCTTTCCATCCATATCTGCAGTCATCAGCAAAAGGATAGGGGGCCCGTCTCTGGGCCAGCAAGACATTTAACACAAACTGTAGTCGTAGTCGACGCTGTAGCTGATGAAGGGCATGAGCCTGTCGACGAAGCGGGGCATTCCACCTCGACACCGTCCAGGTTCGATCCGAAATCCAGGGCTCGGTCGGGGCGTCTCTCTTCGTGCCAAACACCTCGACAGCCGCCGTCCTCACAAACGAGTTGAGGCTCTCTAGCATCATGGTGGGGCCACCCTGCTTCAGCTTGAACTGCCGCAGGCGCTTCCTGAACTCCCTCCGGCACTCGCGATCATCCAGCCGACGGCGACCAAACCGAGCAGGAAAGATGTGCGTGGCCTTCTCCGTCTTCGGCTGCACCGCGTTACCA